GGGCAGCGGGCAGCCCAGACGCGCCGCGGCTGTCCCGCTGCCAGCGTCCTCAGAGGCTTTGCTTCCCGTCTCCCTGGTCTGCTGGTCTCCAGCAGACCAGGAAGATGGGCAGCAAACCCCGTTCATAACTGCGGATCCGACGTAAGTCGGATGCACGTAACTCGGGGACTGCCTGTAAACCAGTATGATGAGACATAGTATGAAAAAGATGACTGCTTCAAAGAGAAATTTTAATTTAATGTTTTTTCTATTGTGTGAGAGATGTTTGGGAACCTTTTGAGATGAAAAATCTGAACAGTAATGGAACTGAGACAGTTCTGATAAAATAGCATATATTTGGCAAATAAAAGGTTATTTCTTACATACACATACAACTATAAGATTAATTAAATAATATCTATGCCATAACTTGAGCTGGCCAGAATTTTTTCAGCAGAATTGTTTTGAGTCAGTAGTACTGACTAATCGCCTAAATTAAAACATTTAGTGGGAGTATGTCGATTTTGGCATCTTTTGATGTGGAAAATGTCTGTTTCACTTCTGTAATGTTGAAATGTTTTGATTCATTTAGTTTTGATTTATATTAAAATGTTAATAATTGACATTAGGTAATATTTATATATATTTAATATAAGCCAAAAGTAAAATGTTTGTAATTTGAACCATTTAGTTTCCTTTTAGGAATTTCTTTTCTGTGGGAAATTCCAATCTGCAACCACCTCTAAACCATGTCTATTTCCTGAGCTGTGCTCAATAGAGGTAATACTTCTGGCTTAGGCACTGATTCTGCAATCAGATTTGGGTAGATGGATAATGGAATACTATGCAGCTGCAAGAGTTTGCTGTCATACCTCCAGTTACAAAACTGGGGCCTTGGTTCACATTTTGCGGCTGAACTTATCCTTTCTGATTAGGGTAGAAACAGGATGTTTAGACATGACTATATTTTATGCATTTGCATAGTAAATAGAAAATATGGGAGTGTAAATTACCCTTCGGTAAATTGATGTAACTTATATGTGGAGGAGGCGGTGTGGGGGAAAGTGTAAGATTGAATCGTCCTCTAACACTTGGCCCTTTGTCATCATCCAAAGGAAGAACTGTTTTAGCTCCATGTCTTTGTGACTAATGTATATTTGCCCTATTTTTCCCACATTCCTGTCAGTGTATGCCTTTCTTGATGGCCTTAAAATAATTCACAAACATGCATAGTCAATCTAGCTTTTACATGTATTAACTGCACTCCTCCCAGGGTACATATATATTCCATTTTTCTGGTTTCCTCCAATATATTTTAATATCTCCATTTTATTTTATTTTTTGATGGCTGATGAGCAAGGAGATTTTTGTTATCTTAAATGACAAGCAAGAAGAGAAGCTGGAAATCTACTTTTTAGACCCTTGCTGAACATGCTGCACACAATAGGGATATTAAATATCAGTTAATTGAAGAGTTGGTTAACTTCATGGATTCTTATTGATTACTCTATTCTATAGTCCCCGGGAGTTGGGCTGGAAGTAGGGCGGGGTGCCAGGGTGGGAGTTGGTCTGCAAGCAGAGCCAATTTAGAAACCAGCTCCCCTCATGAACTGGCTGCCTGTTGCCCCAAGCTGCTGCTGCCTCTGTATCAGAGGCAGGAGTGTGAGGTGGCAGCAGCAGTCCGTGGGTTGGGGCGGGGGGCCTAAGCTCCCAGACCTGGCATGAGCTGGAACTGAGCTGGGCTACCTGCCCGCCTGGCTCCTAATACACTTTAAATGCTGAGCTGCAATTGTGAACCCAGCATGAGCCAGGCTGCTGGCCAGCCTGCTACAACATTTATTGGTGCGGAGGGTGACATGCGTGTAGTCTATAGCATTAACCTATAAGCTTTTGCTTATCGGTTAATTGACTACACTATTACATCCCTAGTATATGACCCGGTTTTTTTTATCAGTGAAATTCAAAATTCATTTTGTAAGATGCAACCATGGGTCCCAAAGTACAGTTCATTTCCTTTAAGCTGTAATGGTGTAATATGAGAACTATTACACTCATACTTTTGTAATGTAGTTATTTACATGTTTGATTCACTTTAAAGTCCGCACATCTCCACACAGGAGATGGTGGTAATTCTCTTTGCCAAATTTGTAAGACGAAAGACCATTTTTTTCTATGAAAAGAAATCAGTAGTTAGCTCTGGATTTAAACTGGTATCTAAAAGTAGGGTGTTTGAGCCCTTGCCTGTGAGGTGAAAACTGGATTCTGTAGATAATGCAACATTTACTCATCTTCTTATATTCAGATCACTATGGCAACTGGAAGAAATGTGATGAGAGCTGTCAGAGTTTCTGAATTTGGTGGACCTGAAGTGCTTAAGCTCCTGTCAGATGTCTTATTGCCAAGTCCCAAAGAAAATCAGGTGGAAATGATAACTGTAAACTAAGAGATAATTGCACTGAATGGTAATGATTTGAATATAAACTGACTGAGAGTCCAAAGCAGAGCCATCTTAATTCTGAATATGAATAGGATGAGTAGCATATACATAAAGCCATCTTAATTCTGAATATGAATAGGATGAGCAGCATATACATAAAGTCACAGGCATCCGATTTAACTAATTAGTTTTGTTATTTAAATGAAGTTTACATATTGAATACAAAAGACTTTCCCAAATTGTTTCACATTAATACTAAGGACTCTTCAATAGGCAAGTAAAGGGTTTTAATAGTACTAAGCTGTTGATACAAAATTATGGTGATGCAATGACATGTAACAAATAACATTTTCTTTTCAGGTCTTAATCAAAGTCCATGCGTGTGGCATAAACCCAGTGGAGACATATATTCGCTCTGGTACTCATGCTAGAAAACCAGCTTTACCTTACACTCCTGGCACAGATGTTGCTGGAGTAATTGAAGCTGTTGGGGAGCATGTAACTGTATTCAAGGTATTATATTATTTTTCTTTTTAAAGTGA